AGATGGCCGGCCAGAATAGATCAGCAACAGGGATCTCTGGGAGCGAACCAACCAGGAACCGATTGTGAAACAAATAGGCAGAAAGAAATGGAGATGGATTGGCCATACGCTGAGGAAACCATCAAGTGACATCACTAGACAAGCCCTCGAATGGAACCCGAAAGGGAGGCGGCGAGTTGGTCGTCAGTGCAAGGGTGACTTGGAGGAGGTCATGCGAGGAGGAGATGAAAGCATGTGGACAGACCTGGAGCAGGGTGAAAAAGTTGTCAGAAAACCGAAGTCAATGGAGGTGCGCAGCTGAAGCCCTATGTTCCTCTAGGAACTAAAAGATACAATAATAATAGACGCCACACACGTGCAATCGGAATGATGCAACGCCTATACCAGTAATATGGAATGTGGTAACAAACAACAAAGGGAAGTTGAAGAGACAGAATAGCGAGAAAATATGTATAAGACAAATTGTGAAATCGTGTTGTGGTGATATGATACTGACAGTGTGTTTCAACGGAATGTTATTCTCACATATTCCTACAATTTAATACTGCATTAGCAACAGAATATTATATGTACTTGAACATTCTATTTCAGATCGGTTAATGTAAACCAAAATCACACTCTCAGTGATTGGTTAAAGAATACAAACGGTATGTATATAAACAGCGGTTTGATCAGTGATAAAATATACCTTGGCTTCCGTATCCTGCCTTCTGCTGTTACAGTGTGACTATAATTGATGTGATTGTGAACAAAAATTTATGCTTGAAATGTCATCCAGTTGTTAATACTGCATTAGTGTGTAATATTTAAAATAAAATTTTCCAGTGTGGAATTACATTCTGCCACACTTACATTAAGTTTTATGTTCTCTAACACTCATCAACTATGGACATTTACGGAATTCATTTCACTGCACAAACATAACTTGTTATCTTTTAATTGAATTTGAGATTTCCCCGTCGATTGATTGGATCGAAGTGCTCAGTCTCAGGTTGACATGTCGGCTTCTGGTGCAGATGCTTCGACGATGTCTGGCGATTTGATTTGTATACAATTGGTGGATGGTGGCTAGCAGTGAAATCCAGGATGCGCATTTCATCCTATTTGGGACTCGTCAGCTGGATGTACCTGCATTTCTCAGTGAGTGATGATGTTCCCACCGAGGCTCGAACCCAGTGCCCATAGTTTCAAACGCCAAAGCGTTATCCACTAGACCACTTGGGCCACGAGAGCCACCTCTTGTGCAACGGGTCATATATTAATTATTGAATTGAATTTTTGATTTTCCCGTCGATTGATTGGACCGAAGTATTCGGTCTCAGGTTGACATGTCGGCGTCTTGTACAGACGCTTCGACGATGTCTGGCGATTTGATTTGTATACAAAAGGTGGATGATGACTAGCAGTGGAATACTAATTAAATGACCAGACATTGTCGAAGCATCTGCACCAGAAGCCGACATGTCAAACTGAGACCGAGCACTTCGATCCAATCAATCGACGGGAAAATCTCAAATTCAATTAAATTAATATGACCCGCTGCACAAGAGGTGGCTCTCGTGTCCCAAGTGGTCTTTGAAACTATGGGTACTGAGTTCGATCCTCGGTGGGAACATCATCACTCACTGAGAAATGCGGATACATCCAGATGACGAGTCCCAAATAGGACGAAATGCGCATCCTGGATTTCACTACTGGTCACCATCCACCAATTAAATAACTTGTTATCTTATCACCGAAATAAACTACTCTGGGATCAACTATGTTCTGACAAGGTTTGTGAATTTGGTAATAGACGATCTAGGTATGAACACTTGAAGGAGAATGAATACTTCTAACCACTTTCAAAAAGAGAAACAACCCTTGAAATCAGCCTCAACAAATATTTAATCCAAGTTCCAGTCTAAATTACCATTAGGTTAAACAAAGCTTTGTTGGTTGACTTCATCCATATTTGTGAATTTCTTTTAAGTTATAAGAATCAGCTTAAAAATAGTAGCATATGCAATAAAGAAACAAGTAAAGCTTCTGTTCATATATTTTCTAATAACATTTATAAGATAATATTATTTTTCTTTAAAAAATTACAATATCATAAAATTTCCTTCATTAAAATAGCATACATTACAAAAGACAAAAAAACGAAAAATTAATCGATTGGTTTTCAGACGAACATCTGTTAGTTAATTTAATAATTACTTTGGCAAAATAACCGAAATATAAATATGTATATATTTATATACAAATATAATTCTTCATATGATCGATTTATTTTAGATTACCGATAATCTATAATAAATAAATATCTAGTTCATTACTGATGCCTAGTTAGATAATAGAGAAAACGCCATTAATGTTGATATTTTTTGACTTGTTTTAACCAACAGCGTTATCCACAGTTTTGATCTGTAAACCTTTACAGTAGGGAATAACTTTACAGAAGTTCGATCGAACTATATATACAGTGAAAATAATTTGTGCTGCAGTATTTACAGTAGTCTGGAATTGACCACTTTGTCTAAATCAATTTGTGATCGCGTATACATGACCAGAGAATGAAAAATAAACCCATTGGAGCAATTCTTATGTCATTATTATCATCACTATAGTGACGTGTATTACTGATAAGATTTATCATTAGTATATAAAGAGACATTCATAAGCACAAAAACATCAAATAGCAAACAGATAGATTTGACGATATCAGAGAAAGTGAATGATACAGCGTTACGGAGATACATGGAAGAAGTGAAAGGCCAGAAGTAGGAGAACACGGGAGATCTGTGCAGATAGTGCATTGAAGATAAGGTGTACATAATTTCGTTATATATAGAGATACCGTAACCCCATTACCCTCAGGTTGAAGTTGGATACAAGACTTCAATAGTGGTACATTATTTTACTCTGTTCTCTTCAGTCCTCTTTGGATGGCTATATGACTGCTCGTGAGCTTTCATCTTCTACCCATATGATCTTGTCCATGTCACTGTCGCGTCTAAACCCAACTCATCATTCCCTACTAGGGTTTCATTTGACGGCATGTCGTGTGATGTCATTCAGTGGTTTCCCCAATGTGTGTACAATCTGTCTACAATTTCCGTCAGCACATTCGGTGGACATTAGGTTCTAGGTCGGTGTATTTCCCAGAAATCCTTGTTGCTTATTTTTTCTGGCCATCTGATCTTCAGTATGCAGGGAAAGCGGCTGTTGATAAAAGTCTGAAGCCGGTTGTGACTGCTCTTAGCACCGCGTCAAGTCTCTAAACCATATGGAAGCACTGAATGAACTGACATCATTGTTTAAAATCCAAATCTTGTTCCTTATGCACAGTGCAGAAGACTTCCATAGTGATTTCAGATTAATGAATGTCTGCCATGCCTTTTTAGTCCTGGCTGACTTTGACGTAATCTGTACCATCACCAGTAGTTGAAAAGATAAGTAAAATGGGCTGACTTCCTTTAGAACTGTCTTGTTGACTATGAGTGTTGCTTGTTTTTATTGCTTTAGTGCCTTCATTACCTCTGTCTTGTCTATGTTGACTTGAAGTCCTGTTATCGCTAATGCTTCTCGTTAGTTTTTATCTGTGGGTCTTCAAGTTTCTCCAACGTTAAACGTAAGTTATCCGTGAAGTTTCGATCTTCTAGGGTCTCCCTGTCAGTCCACAGAACGCCTGTATTGTCGCGATTATTAGCCATACAATTCATTTCTAGGAGAACTCTCTCTTTACGTTACGAATAAAATCAATCGAAATCATAGGAAAAATATTTTAGTTCCACAGTATTTTCATGAACAGTCAGACCACATCTGATCATGTCTTATCTATAAATCTAACAATTAAGTAGTGTTCCTGAGAAATAGACAGAAGATGCCTGTTTATGTCTTTCAACCATCATAATACATTAAGTATGCATTATTTTAAGTTGTTTTAACAAGTCACTTAACTAGTTCTTCAATCGCATTAATATTCAGGCGCATTTTTTAATAGCTTTCATTATACTGCTATGCATATTTTTGTGTGCACTTCAGATAAAACATGGAACAACACTGTGCTAAATGATGTACTACTGACTACTTGAAGGAGAATTAAATAAATTGCAATAAAACAGGTTGAGAATTCCATATTGTGTTCCGAGGTTGTGGTGAAAGCTGGCTGAGAATAAGCCTAAGTTGTAAACAACAATTTACGTCCGGAATCAGGGTCATGAGTAAAACGATAACAAAGCTTAACCTTGAGGATCTCACCAACCAATCACGGCTGACTTAAAGTGTGCAAATAGGATTCGCAGATATATGGCTTAACTTTCTGAGAAACAGTTACAAGCACTACAGAATAACCTTCAGCAAGAAAACAACCAATCAGGAGACGCTGTTTCTCCGCTTACAATAATGTACACAAGTTCTATAAATATCTCTTGATTTTCTCTATAAACAACCTGTTGTCTGGCTCTCGTCTTCTGTCGTTACAGGGTAACGCTTTCGTAGTTATTTTATTATGATAAACAAGTTTATATTAAGTGGGGTCTCGCAGTGTCACTTAATGAATCTATTAGAATATCGTCAGCTTCCAGTTTCTACGATAAGTGAACAAATATCGCATTTCAAGTAGACTATACTAGCACCTTAAGAGTTTGCTTATCTCCTATAGATTAAATGAAACCAATCATAAAGAATAAAACATATGGCTGTGTGGAGATGTGGCACACTAGCTTAAGCACTCAGTCTTTAGCTAATCGGTTACGCCTGAGCAGAAGGGTAGTGTCAGTAGTCCTCACAGGATAAGTCAGGCTCTTAACCAGATTACATGAGAAAAATATGTTCCAGGGAACTTGGACTGTTTAACAAGGACCTGACTCCCCAAGCAGATCTTTCATCTTATGCATTCATAACGCCTGAAGGTATGTTTGTTACCGGAATACTAAAATTTCAGTCAATTGTAAAATTATTACATTGAATAAGTGTACTACCAGTCTAAAAAAGAATATTTTAAAAATGAATCTTACCGTAACCACATGCAAACAATCTATCAAGTGTTTCTGTTGCAATAATATGAGATCTTCAAATGTAAGTTTACTTTTATGCTGACTTTTTTGTAATGATGCATTTTCTTTTCTACTCTTCCCTTTACTTCCTGTGCGTTTATGATGTTGATGCTGTTGATGCTGGTGATGATCATTATCAGAGGATTTTTTGTTATCTGAGCTTGAATTAGCCAGACTACTTTGACTAGCAGGATGAATATAAATAGGCAGGAAAGGTGTTTTCTTATTTTTATCAGTTATATTACAATGTCGATACTTTTTACTCCAACTATGTTCTCCATTATGCAGAGATCGTGTACGACCTACTGGGTTACACTTTTTACTTGATCTTTTTACAGAGGAATTTGAGACCTGAAAGAAGATAAAAAATAAATACAAAACTAAAAATAAAGTGTATGATAAGACAAAATTATATTTTGAACAAAGCGATAATAACAAAAACGACACATGATGGATCAATTGTTTATTTCGTCAGTATTTTGCCAGATGCATATAACCTAAATTATTATTATTGTTCCTTTGAGTAACTAGTTGAACATAGGGCTTGAATAATACATCTCCACTCTCTTCTGTTTTCTGCTGTCCTCTTCGGCTGGTTAGCCACGCTACTTCCGACAATCTCTCATCTCCTCCTTGTCACACGATCTTCTCCTTGTTACCCTCATACTGACAACCCACTCGTCGCTTCCCAATGAGATTGCGTTCGAGCTTTGGCCTGGTGCGCGATGTCATTTGGCGGTCTCCTTAGAGTGTTCCAGATCAATCTCCATTTTCTCCTTCATATTTGTTGAACCATAGATTCCTGGTTGGCTTGTTGCCAACCAGAGTTTCTTGTTGCTATCTCTTTCTAACCAGCCAGCTGGCCATTTGATCTTCAATATGGGGTCAGCAAAGGCAGATGTGTAAAAAATTTATCAGTGGCTTGTTGGAAATTCCTTTCTTGACACACAGTGCAAGTTTCTGACCTATATTAGAAGAAATGACTGATTGACTGACTGACTGACTTCACATGTATGTTGAGAATCCGAATCGTGTTGTTTATGCTAGCTGAGTGACAGTAGATTTCCAAAGTGGTTTTAGATTGATGAAGTTGTATCTTGCCTTTCTGATTCTGCCTGGTTTTGACATCTTCATCCTAGTTTACTAGCTCTATAGTTTCGTAGCCGGTCCCAAGCCCGGGAAAAGAGGGAGGGTTAAGTGTGAAGCTAGGGTCCCTATCCCGAAAAACCCATCAGACTGCTAAATAAACTTTAACATACAATCTAATTAATGAAATTTGATAGCTGTACTGCATTTTCAACATACTTTAGTTTATTGTAAGTAGAATGTGGAACAATATTTGAGAATGATCATAAGAAACAGATGAACCGAAATGCCAACTTAGTGAAATGCTACTGTACTTCTGTATAATGTAACTGAAGTTTCTTGAATGAAACAAGAAATAATTAGTAAAGGTAGCACCGATCTTCTCCCTAGAGCTAAATATAGAGCAAGTTGATGATACACTCATTCTTATTTTATTTTAATCCTTTGTGTTTCTAGTGGAATGTAGAGCTTCAAGTTTGAGCTACGAAGTTTCAGTAGCAGCAGTGTTTGTTCTTTACGAGGTGGGTTTGCTAGCCTCACGCCCAACCTTCCCTCTGTCCCGGGGTGACTACCGGTTAAGCGACGTTAGGCAGTGCATCAGTGCATCAGTCGGAAATCGAACCTGGACCACTAGGGTGGTTGGCAAGCATTCTACCATCAAACCAGCGATGTACAGAAAACTGTCTTATTTTCTTTTTGATGAAGGGGTTCTGCCTATTTATCTATGAAAATTCCACAATTTCTTATTCAACTTGATCAGTCAGCCTAATCTCATGTCCCTTATATTCTCATAGTGATGTTAGAAGTGCAACCACCTGTTTATAAAGTATGAATAATTTTTCAAAACGTTATTACTGTTATTTTCTAAGATTCCAAGTGGAACATAGAGCTTCATACAACATATCTCCACGTCATCTTGATCTCTGCAGTCCACTCCATGACTGTCCGTAACCTCTTATCTACTCCGCATATGACCTCCTCAATGTCATCCTCGGACACCCCAACTCGTCGTTTCCTCCTAGGGATCAAGACATCTATTCGTTTACAAACACCTGTTATAATTACTTACTTTTCTGCGCGTTATCTGTGAAATCTTTACCAAACATTTTCAACGAAATTGCATTTTATTAAATAACTATTTTTTTGGAAGATTTCAAATATGAATGAAAAGCGTATGTTTGTCATCAAAAGCATAGGAATATTTGCAGACTAAATTATTCGGTGAACTATGGGTTCAGTTGGTTGATATTTCATTTCCAGCGTAGACCTCACTATCAATAAAACCATTACAGGTACAATATGCATTGAAAAAGAACAGGAATTTGTGTACTTGTAACATTTATGACATTTAGTTTAGTCAAACTGTCAGTTATTTATCAAATGCTGGTTTGCCATATTCTCATTGGTTACCAGATTGGTCATAACCTGACATCACTTAGAGAACCAAATCAGACGAAACGACAGTTACTCGCCAGCCAGTGACAATGGCTGGTAATTGCGCTAAATATACATATATCACAAATTGGCAGAAGTTGGAAATCATGGACTGGCCTTTGGATCGGGTCCCAGTGGCTTAATAGTCTGTGAGCCTCGTAAACTGGGAAGGTCCTGGATTCGAACTCCAGTGTGTGAGTAATGATGAAGAGTCCAAAACTGGGACGAAACAGCTATCCAGTACACCTTGGTTTTCCACTGGTTCTCTAACTGATATCCGCTCCTGATCATTCCTGTTAGTAATTTGTTAAGGAAATATATGGTATGTATATAAACATAGTAATACTTATTACACTTCAAAAGACTCATCTAACTTTTCAAAGATTTATAATATCTATCAGTTCAAGATTCCACTCACATTACTGTTTATATTTTCTGATGTCTGACAATCACTTTCGCCTGATGTATGACTCAGACTTTGAGCTTTGCTTTTCGAAACTAGTGTACGATCTGAACCAGGTGATGTATGCTTTAGTAATCCACTCAATAAATGATTAGATGTTGGAAGTTTCTTTGAATATTGCACGTTTGAATTATCTTCACGAACAGACGACGCTTTAGCAATATCTTCAGTTTCTTTTCTTGGTATACTTACCGAATGACTTCGAGTCAATTGAGGTTTTTCATCGAATTTGAAATCACCATCTGTAGAGTTTTTCAATTCCTGATGAATTTGATCTTCATTTGTTGAGAGATTGGTAGTAAATGCAGGCAATGGTGAGGTGGATGAATATTGTACATTTGACTTTTCATCAAAATAATGACATTTTTTCCTCTTTTTATCACCATCATCCTCTCCTTCATCACTTGGTGTTTCTGGACCGTCAGATTTTTCTGCACAGGCGTTAACAGTTGCCATTAGTTGAGCTAATCTTATCCTGGCTTGTCTAGCGCGCTAAATGAAAACAAATTAAAACCAAAATAAACACTATAGCTAAATTTCAAATGAAATTACTAGTCAGTAAACAGTTACGACTAGTAAAAACATGGTTTTCAACCTAAAATAAAAGGAAATCCACAAGAATCACCGTAAATTTGCCCACTTAAATTACTTTCCGTAATTTATCAAATATTATCACTTCAAAAAGAGCATTGGTACGCATTCAAAATTAACATGTGACCCAATGGAGTATAAACTTTTGCAGTAGAACGTAGAAGTCGGCTTAAATATCACTTGTGGTGGCCGGAAAATATCAAATTATACGTTCACCTTAAAATAGTAAAAAATAATGAATTCACAGAAAATCATAGTTGTTACGTGACATTGAACAAGGACACCACCTAGTTCTGCGCCCACTACGGACGGCACTTCTTCCTTATCCAGCTTCTCACTTGCCACATCTCCCAACGAACTCTGCCTCGTACCTGGTTAGTACATCCATATTGGGATCCTTTGCTTCAATCTACTTTTCTCTCCGTAAGTGTCCTCCGACCGGTGGCATCTCCAACGTGTAGTGAGCATCCCCAAAAGCCGTTTAGTCCACTAGGCAATCTACACTTTAAAGTTCGGAGATAGACTGTTTCGTTTTAGTAAATGTGTAATAAAAAGATGAAGATGTAAGGCTACTGATGAAGATTTTTAACAGATATTGTAATTTAAATGGAGTAGACAGAGATATATTAGTTACTACATCATAACTTATCATAAACCTGCTTTCTTTATACTTTAGTTATTGCTTCTCCACAATTACAAGAAACCAGAAACATGAATATTGTAGGGATTGTATTGAGTATCAATTAGTAATCCAATATATCAACAAATCGCGAATATACACAACTGCTCCTACGGTATACATTCTGAATAATGCAATATCAAGGACAAAAATGATGGAAAACGTTAAAAAGTTCATTATAATAATGAATTTGAAAGATGATTTTTATGAGTCAATCACGGATTGATATCAGTTAGAGAACCATTGAAAACCAGGGAGTACTGAACAGCTGTTGTTTCATCCTAGTTTGGATGGATGTCCCACCAATGACAATGGTTGGGGTCGCGCTAAATCACGAATTGGTAGATGTTAGAAATCATGAGCCATTGACTCGAGTCCCAGTGGCTAAATGGTAAAGGAGCTTGCCTTGTAACCGGAAGAACCTGGGTCCGAATCCCAGTGGGTGCGTACTCCCGATGATTCCCAAACTAGGATGAAACAGCAGCTGTCCAGTACTCCCTGATTTTCAATGGTTCTCTAACTGATATCAATCCGTGATCAACTCTTAAAAAAATAACTAACCTTTACAAACCAAACTATAGAAAATTTGAAAGATGAACTTAATTTATTCAGTTAGGTAAATTTTATGATTCATTCTGAAATGGTCCTAAAACACTGTTAAACCGAAATTTTTGTTCAGACAACAAAAAAAGCGGTTTTCTGCCGATCAAGTTTTTTTACCAAAATTATCCCAAATTATGATTCATTTAATTTGTAATCTAAGTAATCTGGAAACTGCTTCAACACTATGGAGTACAGTGCCCGAGTCTTTATCAACATCATTCAGCAGCTGGCTGTACGACAATGCCACTTGTCAGGTGATCCACAACGGAAAACTCAGTGAGGTGTTCGAAGTGAATACAAAAGTAAGACAAAACAGGCTACATATTATCACATATGATATTCCTAACCGTGGTTGACTGGATTATGCGTCCGACTGTGTATGGGAGTGAGGAGACAGGAATACACTGGATCAATCAGTAAACTAGAAGATTTAGATTTCGTGGATGATTTATGCCTAATGTCACACAAAGCCGAGAACTTACAGGCAAAAAACCAACAAACCGACACAAGAGACAGGCAGAGAAGACTGGACTTCAGGTGAACATGGAGAGAAGACAAAGGTGATGAAGATAACCAACCAACCAACAGCAGCAACAACCAGCACCAATCCCCATCAGTGGGAGAAATATGAAAGAGGTCACTTCCCTCACTTATCTGGGAAGCATCGTTTCAACCACAGTCAGTTATTCTATATGAGTCAGAAATATGACCAGCGCGTCACGAAAATCATCTCCAATCGACAACTGCAAACTTTTCTCGACGGTCACACTCGCTGACTACATATTAAAAATTAAATAGACGGCTGATTAGTGAGAAGATACTGTGGCTGGGAACAAACCAACCAAGAACTTATCGTTCAAAAATATGCGCAGGAGAAAATAAAGATGGATTGCGCAAACACACTGAGGAGACCTTCGAATGACACTGGACGCAGTGCAGGCTATCGCTCGAGTGGAATCCGAATGGGAAACAACCAGTGAGTCGTCAGTGCAAGTGTGACATGGAGAAGATTATGTGAGGAAGAGATGAGGGAGTTTGGTCAATCATGCAACCAGCTAAAAAGGACAGCAGAGAATAGAAGAGAGTGTAGATGTGCCGCTGAAGCCTTATTTTCCTCTTGGAACCCAAGTTAATAATAATATTATAATAATGATGATTTACCTACAGCTCGATGGTCGACGAGAGTCCTAACCGCTATACCACGCGTTGGTGGTATAGCGGTTAGGACTCTCGTCGACCATGCACATGGTCTGGGGTTCGATCCCTGGCGGACTCACTCCTTTACCTCGCTAAGCCAGAAATAATCCTGGTAAAGAGGAAAGGTTGGGCATGAGGTTAGCAACCCAATCCTGTATAATGAACACTGCTTCAGAAACTTCAAGTCAATAGCTTGAAGCCCTAGCTAGTGACTTGAAGTTTCTGAAGCAGTGTCTATTTTACAGAATGGGGTTGCTAGCCTCATGCCCAACCTTTCCTCTTTACCAGGATTATTTCTGGCTTAGCGAGGTAAAAGAGTGAGTCCGCCAGGGATCGAACCCCAGACCATGTGCATGGTCGGCGAGCGTCCTAGCCGCTGTGCCACCGACGCACTATCCTTGAAGTCAAGTGAAGAAATATTTGTTTTTATTTCAATAGAAATTATTATAACAAAATATATTAAAGCGCACTAAGTGTTCCGACGTCATAAAAGTGTCATGCCTATAAACAAATGTATTAATGTACATGAAATAGAAAAGCCAATATTATGTGTATAAATATTTTTATACAGAGAATACACTTAATAATAATAATAATTTATTATTAACTGACAAACATAAAATTCCCTTTCTTTTCATCATATGACAGAATTCTTTTGGAATAATGCAGATAAGACAAACTATCGATGAGATTATTCACACTAACAACTATGCAAAGAGGGAGAGAGGACTGATCATGTTGGTTTATTTTTGATTCATTCTATACTGAACAACTAGACACTGTGGTGGTAATAATAAGTGATTCTTACATAATTCCTCTTTTCCTATGATGAAATGTTTTTTTCGTTGACTAGACTAGATGAAAAAGTATCATTCTGATAAAGGTACATTATAAATCGTTGCATCTTTATCAAAATCTTTTGTAGATAGCAGCCATTTGGGTTACTTTGATTCAAAATAACTTTTAGATATTGGATAATAACAATTCATCCTAATGAAATAACTTCAAGTAGGATTATGGGGCGAAGTGCAACAATAGCGTCCTAGGAGTCCGAACGCTCCCATGGCGTTGAACGCACGCCAGTCGTTGGCTAACAGCACATGTTGTTATGATAGCTGAAATATCAACACTATTCACCAATTAAGTAGCAAAGTTCACCCAGATCACGTTTTTAAGTACTGTTTGGACAATGTGTTAATAGCTAGTTAGGGCCAGGATAAGGGTTAGGTCTACGGTTCGGATAAGGGTTGTAATTAGTGCTAGGATTAAGGTTAGGGTTACCATTATGAATAGATTTAGAGTTGATGATATTTACTTGAATTTGTTTTCTCATCCACATTTCCCTGGTAAGAAATCGTCAGTCCTCTTACTGGAAACCATAGTAATTCAACCGAGGGCTTTTGAGGAAGACTACGCAACTGCATAAGAGAGACAAACAATTCGTAAAAATAGGTCATCTTTAGCCACGTCGGTGAATACATGTACAGAAACTAGTCTAACTTAGCAACTGATACTCCTCATTATAACTGCAACATATTTTTAAGTCATATCAGAGAAAGCTAACCTGTTTAATATGTTTTCGAGCATTTTCTTGTCAATACACATCATTTTTTGTGCAAAAATTCCTCATTTTTATGATTGGTCGGTTGAAGGTTACTCGAGTGTTTGCACTGCTAGGACGCTTTTGTTGAACTTTGCCTGATTATGGATTATTTCCATGACCTCACCAAGGATCGAACCCAGAAGCCTCTGTTTAAGAGGTGAACTCCTTGACCGGTCAATCACTTGGACGAATTTTAATCGTTCACTATGAATTGACGTGACAGCTATTCATAAATCCTTGGTTCTGAATGGCTGCCTAAATGATATCAGTCCATAACAAACCATGAAGTCTATCAAAACCCTTACAAAGTAACACTTGAAATAGCTTGAAATGTGCAATTAATAGTGTTCTCTGAGCTGGTTGGTTTAGTTGCGGAGCTGTCGTCGTCTTTCTGGTTTATGCTATACTTTATGCTAAATACTGCGCTGAAGATGCCCTCCAGAAAGACGACGAAAGCTCCGCAACTAAACCAACCTGCTCAGAGAACACTATTAATTGCAAATCATCCACCTAAGTTACAAATCTTTTCTATTAGCCTTTAATGTTTTTATACCAATGTTATTCTGTAGATATACTTTGAAAAATAGGCTGAAAATGCGTTGATGAACTATTCACACGGGTCAGTGAATTCGTAAGGTAGAATACTTTCACCTCTTTATATCTGTTTTGCTTCTGGTTTATCACCCATCTTTCCAACCTCATGGTAACCACTTGTCTGTGCCTAATTTTTCAGAATCATTTATTTCTAGTACCTAACACTCGTCTGATAATAACCCGATATACCCTTGAACTTATAATGAAGTTTATACTTCAAATGACGAAGTATTACAATTGGATCAAAGAAGTGTTTTCAGTTTATGTGCTTCGACGTTTCACACACAACATCTATTATTACGACAATACATTCTGATAACACCTGCTATACTTCTGAGCTTGCAATCAATCCGTAAAGAAGAATTTGCAGATGTTTCTAAACAGAGTAGTCTGGTTTTGGTAAAAATGTAAACAGATTTTCCAGGTATCTTAATAACCACTTTGGAACATGTTATTTTCGACGACACTGGAACATTCTATTTATTCTACCTATATAAGCGTAACCGTAATTGTAGGTGAACTTTTAGATACAGTTTGAAGTGGAATCCACAGAATTTGGTCCTTTAATCATAGGTTTAAGGATTAAAAATGTTCGAGATGTGAGGGAAACGGATCAGGCGTAGAATGTGCGTTTGATGGCTGACCGAAGTCTTTGTGCTGTCAAATGCACAGTTTGACCATCTTTGAGTGGTAGGTTAATAAAGATGGTTTTCTTTGGTACAGAAGCTGTCTTTTCAAAATGTGGTTTATCGGTACTGTGACAATTGAAATGGTTTTCTGGATAACCATTAGCTAATAAAACTGGATGTACGTGTCGAAGCTCATCCGTCAACGTGCCGCTTGTGCATATTTTGCGAGCTTTAGGAAATAAATATTTCAATAAGGAACGTTTATACTGGATAAGAACAAAACTGGTGAACTGAAGATATTGTCCAATCCATGTATGCTCACGAAATATAGATAGCTAGGAGAGACGATGCGACGATTAAGCGACCAATATCTTCATTTAACCAGGTTTGTTCCTATCCAGTATAAAAGTTCCATAGTGAAATGTTTATTTTCTAGGGCTCGCAAAGTGTGCACGAGCGACACATTGACGGATGCGTACATTCAGTTTTATTAGCTGATGGCTATACAGAAAACTTTATTAATTATTACAGTAAGAATAGACCACATCTGGTCACGACTTCTCACCAGAACTCCAGGTAACCTCTTCCTGTAGTCAGTCAGTGGCTACGATATATATATATATATATATATATACACATGACTAAAGGTAAAACCTTGATTTGCTGATTACAAAACACAGAAATCACAAAAACTCATTCTCGGCACTCACTTTCTGTGCTTGTCTCTTATCAGATCGTTGGCTTTGATTGTAAATACGAGAGAAGTTTGATACAATGACAGGAACTGGTAAGGCAATCACAAGTACTCCAGAAAGTGAACACATACCGCCAACAATTTTTCCAACTATCGTTTCTGGAACCATATCACCGTATCTAAAATAGCAATAACAAAATACAAACACCTTTTTTTGTCATTCTTAGATATTATTCAATTTTATTACAGGATTACCATCGACATAAGCCCAACAAAAATTAAGTTGAGAATATAATAAGGGCATAAAAAGGGATAGAAATCAATAATAAGTGAATGACAAAAGAAAATGAGCAGTAATACAATAAATGCATTGAAGAAGTGTTGACGCATTTCATATTACGCTTCAAAAGAGGAGTTAGAAAAGAGCGAAGCATTCGAGTTTAGCAAATCTGATGATCCCATCAAATTTTAGTTGAATATTCCATACATTGTAGTATATATATATATATCATATGCGACGGCATAAGGTGACATATCGCCGTATTCACAATTAATCAAGCACACCAACATTACTGGGAAAAGAATACATCACTTTGATAGGCAGAACTTAATTAAAATGTTACAAAAACTTGATAGCCTTAGCTGCATAACCTAGAGTTGGAGCATGTCAATTTTAAAAGTAACGAATTACTAATATTTCAACTGATTAAAAAGGCTCATTAAGACATTTTTCAAAAGATGGTTACTGAACAACAAATAATATTCTTTTAGATAACTTCATCATCAGCTTCAACAGTCATATGTACATAATAGTGAGTCAATTAGTGCTATGAACAACATTAATGTTGTTTAAATAACAACGAATCAATAGTGATAATATCAATGGACTACAGTTTACAGCATCGACATAACACTGCACACTGAATATCAGGCAAATTAGAGAAGGCAGTAATACAGATTCATGAGATTATAGTCTCCACTGAAGGCCAGAAAATTAGTACTGTTTCGACTTGCTTCTTCTGCGCACAAAGCACTGGTTGTTTAAGGCGAACCGCAATAGTCTCGGCGGTTTGGAGTCTTCGGTATCTGGATGCTTTTTTGAAATTTATTTTGTAGCTGGTAGATGATAGAGAAGAATTCTTCAATGTGGGTTTTGTGGCCGTTTCGGACCAGGTGACCTAATATCTAACTGTTGATGGCTTTTACTACACCTTTATTTAGCCACACTGGTAGATGTTCCTGAGCGAGTACAAAAGTTCAGGTTCCTAAAGCAATGGCCAATATAACTCGTTCCACCACAGGCGCAGTTGAATTGGTAAATACAATTAGAAGTGGCCAGTCTAAGTACTTCATCTTTCAACTGAGGAATCACCATCGGTCGTGTAGTAAACATGACTTTTAGTTTACCAGCACTCAAATTTCTTTGAATGGATTTTCTTAACTTGTTAGTAATTATTTCACTAGGTGCGTTACTCTTGGATTGCAGTCGTATGTATAAAGGCTTCTTATTTACAGATGGGGAATAGTCCTTTTCTGCTTTCCTGGTTATGTGTTTCTTGATGAACTTTTCTGGATAGCTGTTTTCAATAAGGGTGTATTGTTATATTTTTTTTGATTACAGCTTGATTCCACACCGTATTTTTTTCGTACAGGTATGAAATTTTCAGCATGTGATATCGGTAGCCCAAATTTTTCAGGCCGACCATAGATATCAGGTGTGCGTAGGCAGGGGATCAAACTCCGGGTCATGTGCATGATCGGTGAGAGTCCTAACCACTGTGCCACTGGCGCACATAGAACTGTAATCCATTGATATTATTAATATTATTGATTTGACGTTATTTAAACTGCACTAGTGTTGTTAATAAGTGTAGAACCTGATGGAGAGCAGGTTATCGAAAAGAATACTCTCTGTTCAGTAACTATTCTTTTGAAGAATTACTAACAATAAGTAATCATAAGAGTTGTGAATAGTGTTAATAGTAAATGAAATGACTTAGAAGTGCACATACGAAGAAGAAAAATACCTAAATGTCAATTATAATGAAATATAACATTTAACAAGAACGTGATAAGTATTAGTAAGCTTAACAACGTAATATATTACACCGAGGAAGATGATAAGCAACCATCACTTCAGCTTGCATAGAGAAGCTAAGTTTATAGAATGTAGTCTCACAAGTACATAAGATTTCCAGTACCTTCTTATTTCTTACTTACGACGTTTGAATACTGTGTAGGCGAGACAGTGCTATGCAGATAAATTGCAAATTCGTCAAAAACATTCAACATAATGGTGATAAGTAAAATTATTAGTTACGTCATAAATGTGCTGTGACAAATGATAAATGTTTCTCTTGAACTTTTTGTTTAACATGAAATTGTATTTGTTTGGTTGAAGGATTACATCATGAGCTGAAATCAGTTAGAGAACCAGTGTGAAAACCCCGGGAGTACTGGAAAGCTGTGTTTCGTCAGCCTAGTTTGGGGCTCGTCACCAGTGCGCACCCGAAGGGTTATAACCCAAGACATTTTGGTTACAAAGCAGGCGATCTTATAAGCCACTAAGCCACTGGCACCCGATGCGAAGGCCCATGAATTTTAAATTCTGCCAATTCATGACATAGCACGACCTCTACTCATTGTCTTCTTCGATGAGTAAATGTTCTTATTCTCGATTGTATTTGGCCCACACAGATAAATAACAGGATAGATACAATAAAGTAACAACTTTGCAACTACTTCAATGTAGGCTAATGCGTGTGAGAGAGAGCAGACAAGTAGTCTGTGGTATTGTTTATCGTATAACTAACTGATGTGTAATGCTGAATGACTAGGTTTGTGCATAAGAAGCTAATTTCTAGTAGCGAATACATAATGTCTAAAATCTGCAGCACCGCAACTATAATACCACTCACCTACAAGTGCTTATTAAATGCTAACCATATGAGCAGTCAAGAGTAAGCTACGTCAACTAGTAGCGCTTCCTAGCTAGAATGAAGCAACACTGGATGATCGTTTTGTTCACTTTAAGCTGAACTCTTAGCCATGTACTCAGTTTGAATGGGTTTCTATTTCATCAAATATAAGTTCCGTTTTTTTTTCTAAAACACGCGTGGATTGGATAAATATGTCAAATCCAGTCAGAATCAAGAAGGCAAGATACAACTACATCAACCTCAAATCCCTTTGTAAATCTTCTGCTGTCACTCAGCCAGCAAACACAACAAGACTCGGATTCTCAACACAAATGTGAAGTCAGTCAGTCAGTTCTTCTATATGGGTTTGGAAACACGGCAGTGCGTCATGAAAAGCATTTCCAACAGGTCACTGCAGACTTTTATCAACAGCTGTCTTCGCTGGCTGGCTCCATACTGAATATCAAATGGCCCACCAGCCGTCCAGAAAGAATTATCGAGAAGAAACTCTGGCTGGCAACAAACTAATCAAGAGTCGATCGCTCAAAAAATATGTAGAGGAAAATTGAGAAGGCATAGGTTGAGGAGGCCATCGAATGACATCACGCATATTGCAGGTCATTGCTCGAGTGGAATCCCCATGAGAAACAGCAAGTGATTCGTCAGTGAAAGGGTGACATGGAGGAAATCACATGGTGAGGGGGAGATGAGAGATGATGGTCAGTCGTGGACCTAGCTGAAGAGAACAGCAGAAAATAGGAGAAAATGGCTGGATCCCTATGTTCTATTCGGAACCCAAGGGAGCAATAATAAGCTCCATAATATTAACTCTGTGTCACGATCACATGGTGAAAAACATCTAAATTCACATATTTTATAATAATGTTTCGGGACTTCAGAAGCATAATTGTACAACAACAGAAAGAGTTTAGCACCTCTTATTATTGATATTAATTTCTTATACAAAATAATACACATTTGCAAACCAAAACTTAATCCTTATTCAAGTTATGAATAGTAGGTGAATGCATGCGTGTAGGCTTAATTCATCATTAAATATCCTTGTCAAAATTAATGAAGTTTGACAAATCATATTTTTTGGAGAGAGACAGATAGAGAGAGAAAGAAAGATATAAATCTACACAAACAACAACCTTCAACACTTTTTTAAAGATTATTGTCTTCAGCTTAATCTCTAACAAGGGAATATTTTCATCAGAACAACCTAAATATATATAACTATTTGATAGATGAAATAACTCCCTTGTCCTCAGCATATTATTTTTCTTAATCATATAGAGTATTAAGTGAAATTCGATCTTTTCAATCCTCGTTTATATTATGTTTATTATTTTCAACATGATAAGTAATACCAAGCAAGCAAACAAACAAACACAGAGAAAACAATTCAAAACAAGGAGAAATATTATTTGGAACTGCGTAGGAATAAAACAAACCTAGGTTATACAAATAAACATTTAATAGTAGTACATAGTGCTATTAGATGCTTGGAGGCAGTTAGCAGGAAGCTACACCTGACCAAGGTTTCGTGCTAGTTGGCACTCACCAGTCAGCAAGACGCATCCACAACGTTGAGGGGAACCCATGTCCCTTCTGAGATTCGAACCCACGTCACCCAGTATTGCAGTCAGAGACGTTGCTATTGAGCTATTTGAGGCGGTTGCAGATACGCCTAACTTGCTAACTGGTGAGTGCCAACTATAGTACGAAACCTAGGTCACACAAGGCTTCCTGTGGCCGATTGCCTTCAAACATCTAATATCGTCGAATCAATGTACATTGTAACCTCGCCTGGATTACTAGCTCGCTAGTTTTCTAGCCGGTCCCAAGCACGGATAAATAGGGAGGGTTGGGGCGTGGTGCTAGCAACTTCACCCCTAAAACTTAACCAAATTGCTACAAAAATGCACAAATATATTAAAAATTCTCGAGTACTCGAGTAATTTGGAAACTACTCGAGTACTACGACGTACCTCAAATGTTCATCAACCTTATTCAACAACTGTACGACAACGGTACATGTCAAGTGATCCACAATGGAAAACTCAACGAGGCGTTTCGAGTAAACACAGGAGTCAGACAAGGGTGCTTATTATCAACAATGATATTCCTAAATGGGGTGGACTGACTGGATTATGTGTCAGACAGTAGAAAACGAGAAGACATGGATATCCTGGACCAACGCGAAGAACCTAGAAGACCTGGATTTCGCGCGTGGATGATTTATGTTTGATGTCACA